AATAGGAACCTTTCATCCAGTCATGTAGTTTCACCCCCTCTTGGGGCTAGCTTCTGTTCTAGACATTGAGGATGCTGCAGTGAACTAAACAGACAAGGTCACTTCCTCAAGGTGCTATTATTTTATTGGGAAGAGAAATAATCAAATAAGCAAGATAACATTAGATAGTGACAAGTGCGATGAAAAAAAAAAAAAAAACAGGGTGAAGGATCTACCTCACACTGGGTGATCAGATAAAGCCCCATGAGTTGAAATTTGAAATACAAAGCGCATGCATGTAAAGATCAAAAGGGAGAGCATTCCAGGTGAACATATTGGCCCCAAAGTGGAAATAAGCACGGCATGATCAAGCAATCAACAGAAGACCAGTTTGGCTCCATACAGCAAATGAAAGGGGAAGTAGTATGAGATGAGGACAGAAAGGCAGGGGCCAAATTACATAGGGCCTACTGGATCAGGTCACGGTGTCTGGGTTTTAAAGTGAGACAGGAAGTAATTGGAGGATTTTAAGTAGGGAAAAGACATGCTGTGATACAAGTCCTTAAAGATCACTCTGTAGGGGAATGGAATATAAACACTGGGCAAAAATGGAAGGAGGGGTATCATTTAAGAAGCTTCTGCAGTTAAATAGGCAAAAAATGATAGTGACTTGGAAAAGATGTTTGCTTTTGTGAGGATTAATAGGGATAATATAAATAAGGTGCTAAGTTCAGAGTCTGATACAAAAGCACTCAACAAAAATGGTGTAAGATAGTAAAATAAATATATACACACACACATACATATATATGTATAGAAAGAGAGAGAGAGAGAGATGTCTCTCTTTGCTGGCACAAAGATCCTAAAATCTTTGTTATTTCTTAAGTAATAAGAACACTAGAAACATCTTTTGTTCTTATTACTTAATTAGGGAGTGCATATAATAGGTTCCTGGATGGCTCCAAGATGGGGCTGTTCAGCAAAAAGACCAAACCATAATTAGAAGCTTGGCATTTTCAACCACACTCCTATTACTCTAGAGAAGGGAGAGGGGCTGGAAATGGATTTAATTATCCATCATGACAAGTGATGAAGTCTCCCTAAAAAATCCCAAAAATTCACAGCGCTTCAAGATTGGAGAACAGATCCACTCTGGGAGGGTAATGCACCCAGCTCCATGGGGACAGAACCTCCTGGTTTGGGACTTCCCAGACTTCACCCTATGTACCTCTTCACCTGAGTTGTTTATCTGTAACCTTTACCACATCCCTTAGTAAGCTGGTAAATGTTAAGTAAATTTTCCTGTGTTGTGTAAGCCACTCTAGCAAACTAATTGAACCTGAGGAGGAAGTCCGTGAGCCCTTCAATTTGTAGCCACGTTGGACAGAAGTTATAACCTGGAGGCATTTTACGATTGACATCTGAAGTAGATGGGAGCAGTCTTATGTGACTGAAACCTTAACCTGTGGACTCTTGACAGTCTGGGTAGATAGTATTAGAATTCAATTAAATTGTGGATACTCAACTGTTGTCCCAGAGTATTGCTTGGTTGCTGCACCTCCCCCTGCAGTGACCCTGAGGGCTAATGGCTGTTGCCATGGTCCCTGAGGTCCGGCGTGGGCAAGGAACCATGCGCGCAGGGGGAGAACAGCAAACTCCGTAAGATGCAGAGAAGCCGAATGCCTGCCAAGAGATAACGACCACCAGAAGCTGCCACAAAGATGATTAAAAGAAATGCTGACCACCTGGAACCTTATCTCGCTTTCTCAAGGCCCATAAACTTTATTCTGCTACAACTGTCTCTCTAAAATCTTTCCTTTTTCTGGTCATTGATTGCTAATTAAAAAACATACGTAATTTAATAATTAGGCTAATGCAAATGAAACATTACTAAACACTGTGTTATAATAAAATTGTAGTTTAATAATCTTTCTATTATGTGCTTAACTTTAGTACCTTTGATATTAACTACATTATAATATAAATTTACCTATGACAATTAATTATGAGTAAACATAAGTAGGTAATAGTAGTAGTAATTAGTACAAAAATATAAAAAGAGTTAATAACCTGTCTACTTAGGAATGCAGCTAGGTCCAGATGTATTTTGGACATAAATCACTGCCCTGTCAATTAAGCTAAGCCTATGAACAAACTGATCTCTTTGATGTTCACTGTTCCTATGCCTTTAGAAAAAACATATATATACTGACCACTAACAAAAATAAAGAACACTCAGATTTACACTCTCTCTTGAAGTGTGTCTGTTTGTCATTTCTTTAACCGAATCCCTGACCACCCTGCGCAGTCTCTCAACCCTGAGTCGGCCTCATCGTCTGCTGCTGTGCTGGTCCGCGGCACTTGGTGAGGAGAAAACTCCACATATTTGGTGGGCAGAAGTGGCAAGGTAAAGTGTTCCATGTGAGTAGTGAAAGAGACACACAGGAGGGGAAGAAATGAGGATGAAGTTTTTTTCCTACACTTTAGAAAAACACAGGGAAAAAGAAACACAAGCAGAAAACTGAGTTTTTTCAGTATAAATGGCATTATTATTAGTGTATGCCTATGGAAAAGGCTTCTTATTTAATAGAATGAGACAATAACTTGAAGTATACAATGATGACAACACTCAAAGCATATATTTTAAGAAATAGGGCTCTAACACTCATTTAGCAAAATTTGTTGAACCCGATTTTTGAACAGGTTTTCTGAGCAAGCATAGGAAACTGAATTAATAGATCAATTAATCTGGAAGGGATCTGAGAAGAGTTCAATTCCTCACTTTAAAAAACAAAATCGGGGCTTCCCTTGTGGCGCAGGGGTTAAAGACAGCGCTATGGAGCTACTCCTGGCCACTGGCTGGCCAGGGAGCAACCCACATGGCATGGCGGACCTCTCCTGTCTTGCCTGCTGCTCCTCTCAGGAGTGTATTTCAGTGGATCTGCCTGTTCTACTCCCCACTCTCTCTGGTGATTCCTCTCATCCCCCACCTCTGGCTTACATCCTAGTTCTTGTATGCATAAATAAATAAATCTTTATAAAAAACAAAAAAACAAAATTGCAGCCCGGAGAAATAACTGCTCCCCATAAACCAGAAAATGAGGGGCTCATGCCCTAACATGTCCCAAGGACATGAATACCTAAAGATTTTCACCAATAACATGAACCAGAACTTTTCAAATTAAATGCTATGTGAGCAGCACATTAATACACTACACTAAATACATATATATTATTTATATAAAGTCCTGACATGGAGCTTCGACAGGGTAAATGCTCACTAGATCACAGCTATTACTTCCAGCTGTATGGTCTTTAGAATGTTGAGTGCCTGATGTCTACCTAACCTCAATTGCTTTAAATTGATACCAGAGTTGCAGAAATTCTAATCTGATTCAACCCGTTAACTTTGCAGATAGAAAAGCAAGTTTTGAAAAGCAATTTTTAAAAGGGCTAAGTAACTGGTGTAGCCTGCCTCCATGAGTTTGAGACAGACAAGCCCAAACCCAGACTCCGTGTTCCAGTTTCCATTACATGTCACAGATCCGCAGGTTAGCTACAAGGTGGTGCTCAAACTTTTGTAAGAGAGTAAGGCCATAACCTCTGTACCTGACTTTTCCAACCCTTTTATTCAAGTCATCACTGAGCTAGGCATTTGATGTAAAGGAAGAATCATCAACAACGCAGAATGGAATAGAGTCTTATGAGTTAACAAGGAAACAGCAGCCTTGGTAATGCAATTCTATCAGGACACCTGATGAATGGAGAAGCTTCCAGAGCAGCCATTACATGCACTGAAGTAGGGAGACTACAAAGTATATTAATACAAAGGAGAAAATGCTTTAAAACATTTTCCAGAGCACACTTAAAATTGGACAGTGGCAGTGAGTCACTAAGAAATTCCGGCTCTCTTGGCATACAAAAACAGAATGGTTTGTTTCAAGCAAAGACTAACAGGGGGGTGTAATAAAAGCACCGGGAGACCAAGACTAAAAGCCACAATGCGGCAAGAGTTGTAACATTCAATCCAGAAAAGTCTGCTCTTTCACAAAGAGTGGAAAAGTAGACTTTCAGGTCCTTTTACATAGGAGATTAGGGTGCCCTCCTCCTCCTCACATAGAAATAAAAAATTAAAAGTAAAAACCAGCTTTGAACGGAAGTGAAAACGGTGCAGGGCGCGTGGTGAATTCCTTTCGGGCCAGCAAATACTTCCTCACACTGTACTAAGTGTAAGACACTGTGAAAGATGTTGGCCTTGCCTCAAAGACCTCGGAATTATGTGGGGAAAGGGAAAAGAAAGGGGTTCACAGCGGTACACAGATAACCCAAGGCCCAACTGAAACGCTCTAAGTAAGGTTCCAGCGGGGGTTTCAGGGTCAAAGGCAAGAGGATTTTGAGATTCATAAAAGGTTTCACGGGAAAGGCGGCATTCGAGGTAACTGCTGAAGAAAAAGCGGAGGTGTGGGGTGCAGGGTAGCAGAGCGGGGTGAAGGCCGGGACAGCCGGGGGGTGCCGACTCCCGGTCCCTTCACAACCGCCGTCCTCCTCAGGCGCTCCCATGGCGTCCCGCGCACCCTCTTCCTCAGGGCAGGCGCCGCGGTCCCCTCCCCGACCTGCCCCGCCCGGTCACCCCGACCTTTCTCACCTCGGAGGCTTCCAAATTCCCCCTCGGCCAGCCCTGAGGACAGAAGACGCCGCCGACAGCAGGGAGTCCCTGGGCGGGAGACCGAGAAGCTCTGTCAACTCACAAGCCCGCGCCGGCAGCCAGGCCACATCCCCATAGCAACGCCGCCAAGCGCTGGTTCGAACGCCCGCGCCGTCGCCCGCGCGCCGCCGTCCCTCGCCCTCCACCAATGGGCATCGAGAGATCGCGGTGACGTTCACCGCCTCCCCTCCACCGGAAGACCAATCAGGGGTTCGAAGAAACGCTCGATTTCCGTCTTTCAACCAATCACTGCGCTTGCGTGAAGATCTCGCGACGTTCTACGTGAGAGACAGGCGCCTGTGAGGAGGGTCGACGCGCTGTCCGCCGCGCTCTGTTGGTCGCCCAGGGGGCGGCTGAGCGCTCCCGATTGGCCACTGTACTTTCGGTTTCCGCCCAAGGCCCGCCTCCTGCCGCCCTCCGCTAGGGGTGAGTGTTCCTAGAGAGGACCCTCTGGGGTTGGTGCTCGTGGAGGGGCTGAGGGCCGGAGAGGCGGGGATCTGCAGCTCACTACCCGCCAGTTGCTGCAGGATCGGTGTGGACGCGCCCTCCTCCGAGCTGGCGGCGACGCGTGGCAGCCGGGCCGAGCCGTGCGCAGGGCCTGGGCCTTGCTGGCCTGTGCTGGTGCTGCCCCATGCAGGTGCTGGCCCGTGCTGGTGCCGTGCTGGTGCTGGCCCGGGCTGGTGCTGGCCCGTGCTGGTGCCGGGCTGGTGCTGGCCCGTGCTGGTGCCGTGCTGGTGCTGGCCCGGGCTGGTGCTGGCCCGGGCTGGTGCTGGCCCATGCTGGTGCCGTGCTGGTGCTGGCCCGGGCTGGTGCTGGCCCGTGCTGGTGCCGTGCTGGTGCTGGCCCGGGCTGGTGCTGGCCCGTTCTGGTGCTGGCCCGGGCTGGTGCTGGCCCGTGCTGATGCCGTGCTGGTGCTGGCCCATGCTGGTGCCGTGCTGGTGCTGGCCCGTGCTGGTGCTGGCCCGGGCTGGTGCTGGCCCGTTCTGGTGCTGGCCCGGGCTGGTGCTGGCCCGTGCTGATGCCGTGCTGGTGCTGGCCCATGCTGGTGCCGTGCTGGTGCTGGCCCGTGCTGGTGCCGAGGTGGGTCGTGGTTTAGGTTCCAGCGGGTTTAGGTCCTAGCACCATGCCTTCTCCTCTCTGCGTCTCATTTTCGCTCTCGTTACCCTTTAAACCCTGTCTGCTTTCCAAGAGAGCCTCTGTGCTCTGATTGCTGCATTTATTGAATAAATGTGACAGTTACAGAAGTCACAGATTCACCACCTAGAACATAACTTCCTCTTTTCTCTGTTCCGGCCTGGTTTGGGCTCTTGTATTTGTTGTTACAGCTCATTAAAAAATATTTATATTTAAAGCAATGTGAATGGAAAAGAAAAGAAAAAAATGTTTATATGAATGACAGCAAAAAACAAACGGAGTGCAATCAGATGGCCAAATCCCTAATCTACACAGTACAAAGTAAGAGTAAAGATGATGAGAGTCAAACAGACTTGCCTTGAGTGACTACCAGACCCACTTCTGAGCCATGGTTTCCTTTTTCCTCTTTTGAAAAATGGCCTTATTTTTCAAGCCGGGGGGTAGGGGGTACCGACATCGCAACCCCCACCCCTGGAATTCTAAAATGCACGTGTAATTTATAGTTGGGGGCGGAAAGTATCAGCGGCACGGGAATTCAACCCGATAGAAAAACAATCCTGCCTTAAGTGAACCCTGGCCGATCACGCCCATGTTGTTCAAGAGTCGAGTCTGCTAGCCAGCGGAATTCAGGCCATGTCGAGAGGCAAGTGTACTAGCCAGTAGGGCAGTAGTCTTACTGTAATTGAGTATCCAATTTAGCTCAAAAATTGTCAGTTAAAGAAGTAACAAATAAGGAAATAAATCTATTCTTCAAAAGATAAGTTTTTTACTGCTAGCTATATTAAGCTGTGCACCTTATCTATAATGCATATGCATGCAATGAACAGTGTGTGTTCACTAGCAGTTTTGCAGAAAATATGAAAAGTAATTTCTTGATTAAACCTCAATAATAATGAGTCAATAAAAGTCCATTAAAATACAACAAGTTTTCTGATTACCTTTTATAATACAGGGATAAGAGTGACTCATATTCACTGCTTCTTACGCAGACCTTATGAATACTATTTCCTTATTTTAAACTACAACCACCATGAAAAGTAGGCAGCTTAGAAGCCTAGAGAAATAAATATTTTGTTCAACAATAACACAATTCTTGAATTAGAGTGGTAGGTCTTATTCACTGCAAAGCCAGCCATGCTTTTCAGTTTTCCTTGCTATTTCTGACTGAAAGAGAATGAAAATGCTTGAAATACTAGCTGCATAGGCAGACAGATGGAGGAAGGTGCTGAGGTACCTGCAGTGAAAAAAAAGTCCCTAATAGGAAAATTCCACTTTGGGAAATGAAGAGATGGGATGAAGTCGGTCACTGAACTCTAGATCCATCTGTCCACTTTACCTTGTGAGTTTTCCTTAGCATTTCAAATCATCTTGTCCCAAACAAATCACTAGCTTACATTGTACCCTCTCCAACACCTACTTTTCTTCCATCTGGTTACTCAAATCAAACACTTCTCTCTCTCCCTTGGATAATGAAACATCAGAGTGTTGATTTCATCTCTGAGATGGCTCTCAAATCCATCTCTCCTTTTTCACTTCCTCAGCCTTCATTTAATTCTCTATGATTTATCATCTGGACTATTGGCAATAGGCTTATAACTCGTTGGCTTCCTTGCCTTCAGTCTTCTAGTTTTCTCTCTACCTGCCTTGCTGCCAGAGTCTTTATAAATGTCAACCTGACCATATTACAATACTGCCTAACACCAAAGGCTCCTCAGTGCCTTCAGAATATAAACTAAGCTGCTAATCAATGGAATGTCATCTTGTGCTTGAGGGTCTTTGCCCACACTTCCTGCTTTGCCTGAAGTGTCCTTTACCTCTGTCTTTATTCTGCCTGGTAAACTAGTTAGCCTTTAAAATCTTTATGGAATAATCATTCCTTTCTACCTTTTCATCTTAGGCATAGCTCCATGATGCACAAGACACACATAATTTTTTGTTTGAATATCTTCCACTTCATTAGGTTGTGAACTCCTGGAAAGCAGACTTTGTAGTCAGTTTCATAGCTACCCTTCAGTTCCATAACACTGCCTGTGCCATGGGACACACTCAACAGACATTAGCGGAATAAATTAATCCCTTCAGCCTCTAATTTTAAAATTCTGTTTGCTTTCCAGACTTGTACAGCAGATGGCACTAATAGGCCACTTAACAGATCACCTTCACTAGGAATGACTTTTGTCTCAACCTTGTCTGACTTTGTCCTCATCCTCAAAACTGATACTGTTGTCATTCCTTAGCCTGTTTCCTCCCTTAGCCAAATAGCATGGATAACAAGATGACTCAGCAGCTTAGTCTCTGCAAAAAAAGAGAGTGGCAGATGTCCAGGAAGAGGTGCATTTGAGAGGACATAATCTGTCTCAATTTATTCATGGTGGTTAGGGAATTCTTTTCTTTTTCTCTTTGTTGTTGGTACAAGAAAGCTTTATTCATGGATGGGCCCCTCATTTCTGTCCTTTGTGATGTGGAAAGTGAGGGAAAGCTGAGAGTCAGAACTGCTTGTGGGCAAGCAGAGTTACCCACCCCATGGTGGAGTGACCTAGGCAGAGATCCTGGGTACCAGTGCCCTATGTTAGGTGCTTGTTTGCTTGACCAAGGCTAACATCAGGGGTGTTCCCCCGGCTCCCTGGTTTGGCTTTGAACATGTGATTTTTAGGTTCCTACTTCCCAGAAAAGAGCAGGGGAGACCTAGAAACGCTTATTGGATAAGCAAAGTTTAGGAGCCTCATATTGCCCCTTACCCCTCCAGAGTCATCTGCGAGTACCAGTGTCTTCACACCCCACTCCAAAACTGTTCTGTAGAAAATATTTCACTCCGACATCTTAAAAATCCACCATGTGCATATAGATCAAAGACTGGGGATTTTCATACTGGAAATAATTTTGCAAATCATTTGCATACCCTTTCTCAGGGCCATTTGTGCCCTAAGCTCTGCAGTTTCACTGTAGACATAGTTGTATAAGGAGGGAAACAGACTTTGGAGTTGGCATGACTTGGATTCAGATGCCCCCACTCACAGATCAGCTATGCCTTTGAGCAAGTATTTTAACCTTTTGAATCTGTTTCCTCATGTAAACTGGAGATGATAATGCTTATAGTAAAGGGTAGTCCTGAGTGTTAATAAAGATAAAACTTGCACAGTGTGGCTGGCACAGATGCCTGATAGTATGGTGGCATCAAGTGCTGTTTCTGTTAAAAGGGTTTCAGGTTAAGAGGAACGAGTTGGCAGGAGGATTTGGGAAGCTCTTTCTGTATCTGCAGGTGTATTCTTGAGGGCTTTGGAGCTGAGCTATGCTTGCAATAGCACTCTGATTAATTTGATGAAACATTGGAACACAACACATCAGTAGTCATTTATCTGTGAATTCTTTCTTGGCACCTAGGTTCTGAATCTCCTCAGCTGTGAGGAAACTGTATATATAGAGAAAGCCAAGAGTGCTTTTCCTTAGCTTCTGGAACCTTCTGATGACATTGAGGGTTTTTTTGTTCAGATTTTTTTTAACCACCTAAGGCACTTTGCCACTTTTCTGAAGTGTGAATTGCCTGCTGTCAGCCTGGAGTTCTCACCTCTGCAATTCTGGCTGCAGGCATATTTGCATATTGGATGCTGTGTTCTTTAACCCCCTCAGGTTTGAATCTACTTGGAGTCTGTGTGTGAGTTCCTATGAGCGTGTGTATGTGTGTGCGAGAGAATCAACATCAACAGACGGACAGGAAGGAAAGAAAGTTGGCTACTTTCAAACCCTAGGACAGTTTCAGCTCCCTGGTCTCCAGAAAAGCAGAAAACCTCCAACAATAGCTCCATTGACTTTTATGTAAATGGCACTCTTCAGGAAAACACTGGGCTATTTCCCAAGCCCCAGAACATACCCTGAACATTTGTTTGAGTGGGAGGTAGGGAGACAGTTCTGTTGAGTCAATGAACATATGTTGAGGGATTCTGTACTAGGTGCCAAGGAGCTAGCTCATAGTCTGGCTCTTTCCTGACGAAGGTACGGACAGAGATCTACCATACAAGTGCGTGTGCTTGTGGTGGCTTTGTTCAGTGTCCACTTAGCGAAGCTGGAATTAAGTGTCCCAGGATTTCCTTCCTGTATGGTTCTGAGTTAGGGTTGACCTCAAGAAACTGTGTATGAGGTTTGGAAGCTGAAGTGAAGTGGTAGCAGGTACACCTTTAGGGGCTGCTGCCAGGCGTGGTAGCGGTGCGTATGTTTTTTGACACAGATCTCCTGGCTCACGACATTGGTGACAACACCCGGCCTGCAGCTCCCCAACCCCTGCTAAATCTCCTTCA